GAGAGAGAGAGGTAGAATGGGGAAAGGGAGAGAATTGAGAGAGAGAAGACGGAGAAAGAGAAACAAAAAACAGCTTGAATGAAATAAAGTGGTTCACTAGTTGGGAAACGCACATGGATCTATTTACTATGGATTTCTATTCACAGTAACTATATTCAGTAACTATTCAGTAATATTCGGTAACTGTAGTCAGTAATTATATTCAGTAACTATAGTCAGTAATTCAGTAATTATTTTCTGTAACTAGATTCAGTAGTTCAGTAATTATATTATATATTATAGTAATATATATTACAGCTTCAGGCTGACTTCTGCTGTATGTTTTTTTTTTGAGGTTGTTGTCTGTGGTAATTAATCGTGTGTTACAGATTCAGCAGATAGAGATCAGGTTTTAAAGATGCTGAAATGTTCCTTTAACGGTGGTTGTGAAGGTTCCTTATACCTGCTTCTGTTATTTCATGTGAGCATCACATTTTTCTGAGTGAGGTCAATTATAGATTAGATGTAGAACCGCAGTCCCCGCTGTGAGCTCTCAGCGTGTTCTCCAGACTCTCAGACACATCATGTTGTCTCCTCTGGCACAGGAAAACGTCCCCCAGCAACACACTCATCAAATCTAGTTCTCACACACACACACGCACATACACACATACACTGCATTAAACCTGAAATACCCCAAAGACCCCCAGCACTCAAAATGTGTTTTAAATGTTTAACTCATCTTGGATGGTTTATTATAGTCATATAAATTGGTACCTGTTTCAAATGTGTTAAAGACTCCACACTTTTTCTTTTAAAGTACAGTTTTGTTCAGTACATCCATAAAAAATGATTCGAGGGGCGCTATGTAGCAGCACATCACAAATAAGCTTGAACCTATCACAGTCCAGTATGCTAAAATATGCTATTGAGGGGTTGTGGTGACAGGAAACACATAGCTATAGAACATGCCTGCGCTAATGTAGCTAAGTGAATATGCTAATTAGGGGACGTAGTGAAAGGAAGCACATAGTTACAGAACATGGCTGCGCTAACATAGCTAACTAAATATGCTAATGAGGGAATGTGGTGGCAAACACAGAGCTACAGGACATGTCTGTGCTAATGTAGCTACTGATATGCTAATGAAGGAATGTGGTGGCAGGAAACACATAACTACAGAACCTGCCTGTGCTAACATAGCTGACTAAATATGCTAATGAAGGAACGTAGTGACAGGGAACTCTACAGAACATGCCTGCGCTAACATAGCTAACTAAATATGCTAATCAGGAGTCATTGCGCCTGGAAACGCATAGCTACAGAACCTGCACTAACATAGCTAAATATGCTAATGAGGGGACGTAGTAAAAGGAAACGTAACTGCTGAAAATGTCTGCACTAAGATAAGATTGCACCAAAGGTGCTACACAAACATCTAAAGATTAGGTCTGTAGAGTATATATCGAGCTTGATAAGTTCGGTACCCCACTGACTGTTTGCCACTGTTGGTCCACCCTCGGACCACCCAGATTACTGTCCTGCATACAAGCTTTAACTAGTTTTTAATCTCCCCAAACAGATTTTAAATGCACAGAGACTTTTATTTTGGAAAATAAACTAAGACAAATATTACAAACAACCAAGAGAAAAAAAAAACAATGACTAGGCCTGATATAAAATGATTTTATAGAAAATGTTGTTGCTGACACTTTAAAATTATTTCCTAAACTAATTTAAAAAGTATAATTAAAGAAAGGAAGGAAGGAAAATAAGTAAATTGGACTGTGAGTGGAAAATGATTGATGATAAGTGGAATTTTGTCTAATACTCTGCTTAACCATTCATGGACCGCCTGTAAAACGCTGAGGAAAACGCCAGTGGACCACCAGCTTTGCCATCAGTGGGCCAACAGCGGTTCACTATCCACTTGCTATCAGGGTAGTTAGCTTAGCATGCTGCAGCTTCACCCACGACAGTAGATTTGAGTCTGACTCACTGAAGCTCGCCTGATGCAGTTTTGGAGACTAAAGACTCAAATCTGAGGGAGCGAACCTTTGTTTCTGAGTGTGCAGCTACTAGCTAAGCTTTTGCTCCGCTACTTCTTTAGCACCTAGGCTAACGGTAGCTTAGCGAGCAGACAAAAACGGCTTTAGGCACCACAAAAGGTCCGATATCTGCAAGTTTAGAGGATAAACGCTGAGCAAAACGCCACCAGCTCTGTCATCAGCGGGCCAGCAGTGGACCACTATCCTCTTGCTATCAGGGTAGCATAATCAGCTCCTCTGTACTGCAACTGTTGTTCAGTTTATGGTTTAACGTTTACTGGGTGAAGAATTTAAAAGTATAGCCAGTTTCATGTCTGATTATTAATGTTATAGTAGGAGCTTATTCCTGTTTCTGTTGTGCACCGTCTCATCCACTCAGTCTGTCCAAACACAGAGGGCTGCGTTCCTCTTATGCCGAAAGGCAAGTAAGCACAATGTGTGGGACAGTGGGGGAAGGGGTGGGGTTTAATCTAGAGGCAAGCAGTGTTTACAATTTGCATAATCATGCATATTCATGAATCTTCACATGCTAAATGAGTGTTAAGGTTTGGGGATGCTTCTATGCCAATAATACACACACAGTTTGTATAGTTAACAATCTATTATTTAACTTATTTTCATGGTTTAAATTATGACTCGGGTTAGTTTAAAGGGATATTCCACCAATTTTACAAACTTTCTGCACATTTGAGTGCTGAGGATGTTTGACGTGAAATGCTCTGTTCACCGTTCACAGTAGTATTGATAGGAACCAGACGTCTGAAGAGTTTAAAGTCTCTAAATGCTCCTTAACAGAATGTTATTATATGAAATGGTTATGGATACGGTGTCTGATGTCTGAGACACTGTTTTACTAAAGTGTTGAGATGATTTTGGGCTAAAAATCTATTAATGGTGGGGGGATACATGCAGAACGTTGTGAGGCAAAATAGTCCCTAAAGAAAGTTTATTTTTTCATATTTTCCACATTTTACCATCGACATTCCATATAAAAACTCAGAAGACACCTTTTAGAACTGAGAGAGTTAAAATTGATAATGAAAAAAAGAAAAATGATGCTAATTTTTTTTTTTTTGGTACTTATTTGTAAAGTTAGCTACGGCTTTCTTTTATTCCTCTTTTATATGCATGTACCTCTTTGTAAAGCAACCTTTTTTCCCTTTCCTTTTTTCATTTTCTTTCCTTTTACATACATTCGAATGCGAAAGTTTAGGCACCCCGGTCAAATGAGTTGATTCACTATAGGTTCACTGGTGGTTTTGGGTAGTAAATAAAATGGCTATATTTGTGTTGTAGTCATGACGACCCCTGGTTCCTGTCACCACCACTGTAAAGAAATCGACGTCTCTACAACCAACCATTTCACACCTCTGAACCTACATCTCAACCGCTGAAATATACAAATTTTGAAAAACTGGTGGAATTTCCCTTTAACGGTGCACTCTCCCTGAGAGAATGTGTGCTCACTTAAATACTCGCACATACAAATTATGCCTCCGTTTCATGCCACCCTGTCAACACTGGGTGGTTACCATGGTAACAGGGGGCATTCTGCAACTGGCGGTGTTGGTGTGTTTGTTTGGGCTGCCGTCTCCGTCCTCTGAGGGACAAATTATGTTTCAGTCAAACTAGGCCAGCATCTCTCTCTCACAGACGCTTTATTATTCTGTGTTTATATGGTTCCAGCATTAACACTCCTGTGTGTGTGTTTGTGTGTGTGTGTGTGTCGGGGGTGTGGCGGCGGGGGGGTGTTTGTATTTTTGTAATTGTTATAGAAAATATGGGCTGTTTTTCATGGTTATTTGACCCCTTTTTTTCACAGCAGCCATAAAATGCCACCTCTGCCTGCTTTGTTCATGTTTGATCTTCAGGAGTGTTTTAGTGTTGATGGCAGTGACGCAGGTCTTTTAGTTGGAGGTGCAGCTATATGCAAAAGTTTGGGCGCCTCTTACATTAAGTGAAAATATGTTATATAATAACAGATTCCATACAGAGAACACAGTACTTCACACTTTAATGCATAATTACGGTTAATTTGCCGAATTTAACATATTGGGTAAAAATAAAACATAAAACTTGGCTTGTGCAGAAGTTATGGCACATTATAGGTTTTTTTTTTTTGTAGCAAATACACTCACACACACACACACACACACACATATATATATATATATATATATATATAATTTTCTATTATGAGGGAAAATTTCTAACATAAATTTAAATGAATATGAAAGAAACTAGAGGTGAAAACAATTGGCCAAAAGTCTTAGCACTGAGTGAGTTAAAATTGATAAGGAAATGTTGCAAAAGAAAAACAAATAAAAATGAAAAATGATGCAACTGCTAAGTTTTTGTTGTTGTTGTTGTGTTTATTTGTAAAGTTAGCCACTTTTTTCTTTTTTTCTTTTTTATTTGCATGTACTTCTTTGTAAAGTCACCTTTTTTCTTTCCTTTTTTACCTTTTCTTGCCTTTTACATCCAGTTGTATGCAAACATTTAGGCACCCCTGGTCAAATGAGTTGATTTTCTAAATGAAAACAAGTTCACGTCCCTTTTGCTGAATGTTCATTTCGCTGAATTTAACACATTAGGGGGGGAAACAAAATCATAAAATGTGGCCTGTTCAAAAGTTAGACTGAGTTATATGTTAAACTCAGCAAATAAATAAAATTTTTGTGCTAAGATTTGCTAAAAAATGTCCTATTTAACTGGTTTCTCTGTAGAGGATGTAACTTGTTACACGTAATTTGACCAGGGGTGTTCAAACTTTTGTATACAACTGTATGTGTACCTCTTTGTAAAGGGACGTTGGGAAAAGATCTATATAAGTGGAACAAATAACTACATTAATGAGTTAATTAATGAATTGATTAATAAGGAAAGCACTGCTGATCCTAATGTCTTAATCTCCCTATCTCTCTCTCTCTCTCTCTCTCTCTCTCTCTCTCTCTCTCTCTCTCTCTCTCTCAGAGGAGGATCTGTCTAACGTTCAGATCATGTGTGCGTGGTGTCAGAAGGTTGGAGTGAAGCGCTATTCTCTCAGCATGGGCTCAGAGCTGAAGAGCTTCTGCAGTGAGAAATGTTTTGCAGCGTGCCGCCGTGCGTACTTCAAACGCAACAAGGTAACGCCCCCCGTAACCCTCCGCCAATCAGGTTCTCTTGCTGTGACATGACTTCCTGTCTGCTCTAACCTTCCTGCACATGCTCAGTGCTGCCAACCTCTTTGAGACCTTATCAAATGTACAGAGATTCAGAGGAGCGCTGATCTGGGGTCAGTTTATTTCACCTGTTGACCAGAGCTGGGTGATACCGGAACCAAGTACTGCGATAATATTATTATTAAAATACAGAGATAATGATAAACGTCTTGATAACAGGAAACGCTGTTAATGTAGTGTTCCAGCCTAAAACTTCACAATTCATCTATGTTCTCTCACTACAGTACCCAGCATGCCTTACACAAATACATCATACTTCACTCATTGGCAATCCCTGTTGTGTCAACAGAGAATGAGCAGTGAGAAGAATAGCCTCTCTATAATGTCTTTCGGGTTTGTCGAACACTAGAGGGCGCTACCGAGTGAGTCCAGAATGAATGGGTAAATATGAAGCATTTGAGCAAAATCAACATGAAGCTTAAACATTTTTATATAGAAGAATGCATCCATTCCTGAACACACAAGTGCTTAAAAAAATTTAACACCGCTTTAAAAGCGCTTTTGAGCTCGAGTTACAAGAGTTCATAACAGCGCCTTGTGTACATTCATGACATCAGTGAGCATGAACTGCTTCACTCAGCCAATGAGCTGATCAGCTCACCAACCAGTCAGCACTCAGTAGCGGTAAAGCTATCCAGTCAGTACACATTGGCAGTAATGATAACCAATCAGCACTCAGTAGCAGTAATGCTAACCAAGCGCTCAGTAGCAGTACTGCTAACCAATCAGCGTTCAGTAGCAGTAATGCTAATCAATCAGCACTCATTGGCAGTAATGCTAACAAATCAGCACTCAGTAGCAGTAATGCTAACCAATCAGCAGTCAGTAGCAGTCAATCAGCACTAAGTAGGAGTAATGCTAACCAAGCGCTCAGTAGCAGTACTGCTAACCAATCAGCGTTCAGTAGAAGTAATGCTAACCAATCAGCACTCATTGGCAGTAATGCTAACCAATCAGCACTCATTGGCAGTAATGCTAACCAATCAGCACTCAGTAGCAGTAATGCTAACCAATCAGCAGTCAGTAGAAGTGATGCTAACCAATCAGCACTAAGTAGGAGTAATGCTAACCAATCAGCAGTCAGTAGAAGTGATGCTAACCAATCAGCACTAAGTAGGAGTAATGCCAGCACCCTACTGCCCAAAACCCATTTAGTGTAGACAAAAGGAAAAAAAAGGTTTTCTTTGCTTTTTTAGTGAAATAAATCCTTCTGCTTTCCAAAATTAAAAGAAGGTCCTGATCATTTGGTTAGAAACTATTTTAACTTCTTGTTTTTAGCTGTTCAGCTCCATTCTCCCCCACTCATTGAAGACCTCGATGCGCCCTCTGGCGTTTCACGGTCATGTTTTTGACGAAGTAAGAAGTGACCAGACTGCCCTTAGATCGGCTCTGGTGTCAACCAGTCCTGACTTCTGGCCTAGTCACTGATCTGTATGCTAATAAACACAACCCAGCTAGCATTAGTTATCAAAATCTTACCTCAGTTATCAAACAAATTTGTAAACAAACCAGCGATTCTCTCTATTCTTCGCCAAAATGAACATCACAGACCAGTTTTCACCCCTTCAGTCAGAAGGGGTGACTGCTGCATTTACCAGCTACCAAAAACCAATTGAAACAGCCCACAAAATCCCAAAAGGGAATTACCTGGCCATAAACCCCTTGGTTCATAAACTTGTTAGTATGTGTACTTCATAAGTGTGAAAATAATTTATAGTGTTGCCTTTTGATGATAATACCACTTTGCGGTAATGTTTACAGATTAGCTGTCATTGTCATGACATGTTTGTCGTCAAAATTAAACTAACCTAAAATTAAACCTTGAGTAAATATGAAATGTGGTTGTATTTTCTTTAATTATTTTTAATTTAATTTTTTGCTACACTTATATCCTCATTGCCACCTATTTCTATTTGTTATTGCCCAATTCAAATAGTCAAAAAGAACAAAGTGAACTCAAATTACACTCTGTGAAAAGCCTTGCTCTGATTGGCTGTTGGCTGAGTGAGACTGTAGCCTTCCTGAGTTAAACTGGCGATTTGCAGTCTTGGCGTAGAAGCGTTATCATAAAAGTCAAAAGTCATGTTCAAGCAATGTTTGAAATGTTGGGAAAAAATAGATAACTGGAGGCTATGTACATACGGTCTTCATTACACATGCATAAGCACTGAATAACAGATTTAAACAGCAACACTTATATTATGTATACAGCAACACAGTATATATGAACAGCGCATGTCAGCAATCGCAAGATGTTTTAGTATTGTGGTGACATAATGAGCCTTAAACTAAAGTGGCAGACATTTATAACACTGTTATGAAATATAATTACCAAATAATATAACTTATAAGGCAGATGCCTATTTGAGAACTATGAGAATATCTTCTTGAGAACACTGACATAAACTATTAATACATTCTAATGCACTTTAAATGTTATTCTATGCTTATGCAAGTGTTATGAAGTGTTATGAAGTCTATGAAGAAATTGAATTATGACGTTTTGATATTACGACAACAAAAATGTCAGTATTGCTGATTTATTGCCCAGCTCTGTAGTCCAAGGGACTGATCCCGAAACAGCACTTGTAGCCAAATCATTGGTTCCATGTGGCTCTAAATTGTCAATTCCTTTAATCTGCTTTGCCACAAGCAAAATAAGATCTGCATTTGCCAAAAAATGCACATCATCTTCAGGTGATATTTGGCTCTGATCTGGTCTGCTGCTGAAGCAGAATCTCTTTGAGAAGTTGGCTTGGCATGGGGACGTTCCTCAAAGCTTTTAGCGTTGTTTTGGAGTCGGAGTGGGAGTGGCCTACTGACTGTGTGCTTTCTCTCTTATACCTAAGCTGGGATATGTAAGGAATTGCAATGTAAGTATACTTACATTCTCCCCTTTCTGCCTTTCTGCCTGTGTGTGTTAGAAATCTCCCATTTAGATCTGTTCACTGTCTGCTAGTGACTTTCTTTCTCTCACAGGCAACAAATACACACACACACATAGACTACGACACATCAGTGTATGCATGCATGATTGCACATAAATATACGCACAACCTTAGACAACCGTTTTCACCCCTGGGCCCCCACATACATGCTGTTACTCATGAACTGAATGTTGTTTTTTTAAAATATACACATGTTCCCTGGCCAATTAGAAACACTTCCACTCACTGGCCACCTAATTAAAACCCCTTCCTTCCCCTATAGCCCACCTGTTGATGCACAAGGTAGGTGTTTCTAATAAAGTGGTCAGTGAGTGGAAGTGTTTCTAATAAAGTGGCCATTTAGTGGAAGCACAAAGTAGGTGTTTCTAATAAAGTGGCCAGTGAGTGGAAGTACAAGGTAGGTGTTTCTAATAAAGTGGTCAGTTAGTGGAAGTACATGGTTGGTGTTTCTAATAAAGTGGCCAGTTAGTGGAAGCACAATGTAGGTGTTTCTAATAAAGTGGCCATTTAGTGGAAGCACAAAGAAGGTGTTTCTAATAAAGTGGCCAGTTAGTGGAAATACAATGTAGGTGTTTCTAATAAAGTGGCCAATGAGTGGAAGCACAAGGTAGGTGTTTCTGATTAAGTGGTCAGCTAGGGGAAGTACAAGGCAGGTGTTTCTAATAAAGTGATCAGTTAGTGGAAGCACAAGGTAGGTGTTTCTGATTAAGTGGTCAGCTAGGGGAAGTACAAGGTAGGTGTTTCTAATAAAGTGGTCAGTCATTGGAAGTGTTTCTAATAAAGTGGCCAGTTAGTGGAAATACAAGGTGGGTGTTTCTAATAAAGTGGCCAGTGAGGGGAAGCGCAAGGTGGGTGTTTCTAATTAAGTGGCCAGTTAGTGGAAGCACAACGTCGGTGTTTCTAATAAAGTGGCCAGTTAGTGGAAGTACAAGGTAGGTGTTTCTAATAAAGTGGCCAGTCAGTGGAAGTACAGGAGTGCATGTGCTGGGGATTAATTAACAAGCTTACCTAGAAACAGAGAGTTTTTTGACAGGCAGTTCTGTTAAGCATTTTAGAGAAAGTGTGAATGAAGCGTGTGAGGATAATATTCACTCAGCCACAGACGTAGAAAATTAATTGGCGGGTCATTTGTGCGGTGATGGTCATGTTGGCCTGTGATTCACTGGACATCTTTTGTGTTTTCATATTTGTCATGTTGGTCAGCCATGGAAATGAATGAGAAAGTGCCATTTCCTCAATGTTGTTTGTCACGGCAATCATATCAAATTGAGTGCTGTCACATTACTCCTTTTTTTAATATTGTTTTTGTGTAAGTGTGTCATTTTCACAGAAAGTGGTGCTCTGCTGTATTTTATTGCTATGGCTTACAAACTGCTTTGTCTGTCGCATTTCGGAGACTGAAAGAGAAGTTTTCAGCTCGCTCCCTCGAGGCCTCTCCGAGGGCTCATCTAAGAACCTTTACTTGAGCTAATACAGTAAGGGAACAGATCTGGATGGCGTCAGGGGTTCAAGGTTGACGAAAACATGCTAAAATGAGTGTTGGAACAAGTTGGCTGGTCTCTTGCATTTACATCCCACCTTCGCAGCAAAGCAAACATGCTCACTTACTAAAACGTTTAGCATACTTCTTGTACGCTGCTAAGAACCAAACCTGAAAGCTCAGATTCATTCGGGCTGGCTCAGATTCTGGGCCACGCCCCTCGTGAGTTCTGTGGCATTAGTAAACGCCCACAAAGGGTCTGATTGGTGTGCTGAAAGGACTGTGGTGCTGACAGGTCATCTGTGGGCAGTAAGAACAGAAACTGTGGTATCAGACTCCAAAAGCATTCCACAGTCACCCAACACCCTCCAAACACTATCCAAACATACTCCCCACCCTCCGCCTCCAAAGCCAGGGAGAAAAAGAGAGAGAGAGAGAGAGAGAGAGAGAGAGAGAGACAGATGGGAAAAGAACAA